ATAATGAACTTTTTACATCATCAATCATTAGATAACAAAGTGATAGATTTTTTGATATACCTGTGTGTGTTGGTTCTTCTGATTTTAATAATTTAAAAATCTCTAATGCTTCCCCATACATTTCTAATTCTATTAAAGCACATCCTAAATAAATTCTCATTTCAAGATTATAAGGTGTTATTTTTAAAGCTCTTTTAAATGTATCAATTGCTAATTTAAATTCTTTATGACTGTAATAGTATAAAGCTTTAGCTTTAAGTGAGGGGTAATCATTAAGAATTTCATAGGCTTGATCATACATATTTGTATCCTGATTTATATGACCTAATTTTATGTATAAGTTACTTAACTTCCTTTTATGGATAATAGAAGTAGGTTTTCCTATAAATTCAATATAAGAACATATTTCATCACGCGATCTATTTATATCACCCATCATTAAAAGACATTGAATTCCTTCAGATCTAAAAGGATATTCTTTTAAAATATCATAAGCTTCACCGTGTCTAAATAAGGAAATTTTATATTGTGCGTTATAATAATCAAAATCACATTGTAAAATAATTGGATACATTAGTGAATAAGGATATTCAATATTATTAGTTATCAAGCTTAATTTATCACTAGAAGAAAATTTTTTCTTACAATATTTTAAATAAAGATACTCAAATGCATGATTGAACATATCATTGTTTTGAAAGAATCCCATCTTACATATTGCATGAATATGTGTTTTTCTTTTCTCTTCATTTTCTTCATAATGTGCTATTTTTAAACCGTAAATATAAAGATAAAGTAATGTTGGTTCGTCAAACTTACTCACTTTATAATCCACTGATGTGTAATCATCATCAATGTATTCAATCTTTTCGTTTTTGGTATTTATATCAACAACGGTTATTAAACTTTCTACTCCTACACTATTTTTAGCTGATGTACCGATAAAATTAATTTCATAACTCAAATGTAATTCTCTTTCAAATATTATTTGACATTCTTCAAATCCATAGAAAGATGCATACATCAATATCTTTTCAAAAGGACCTGTTTCATTAGTAACATCAAATGGCATTGGATCATTTAAACAGAGATTTTTTAAATAAAGAAATCTGGATTTTTCAAGATTACTTAACTCATTTAAATTAGTTTCTTCTAATAGTTTTATAGCAGACACCCCTTTTTTATATTTAATATGTTCTTCTATTGTTCCCTTTTGAATAAAATTTGATTTAAATATAAGCTGATTTACTTCATTGTTTTTCTTTTTTATGTTCATTTAAATGTTAAAAACTTTTAAAAAAATAAAATTGTGATTTTTTTTTAAACATTTGTATGATTTAATTTTATGAAAAGTTTATTTATATTTGAA